CACCCCCCCCCCCCCCCTTCCCAATCCTAGGTAAAATCTCAATTTTAACAACCTTGGCTCCCAGCGCTGTTTGGCATTGCAATGCTCAGGGCAACACATACTACATTAAATATATTACTATAACCCAATAACAATTGTAGTATACAAATCAAACAACAAATATATGGAATTGTAACAAGATGAAATAACAGAAAAATGTAAATACCTTGTAAACAGCAGGGTGCACTGGAGAAAGATGGAAAAACCTTGCTTCAAGATCTGGAAGCTGACTCCCATGTTCATACTGTGGTAAATGCCTGAACAACTCAACTCTGTTCCTAGCTTCAGTTTGTTTCACCACAGACCGACGTTTAGCTTTCTCCACTCGGCTCTTGTCATCATACTGCATGCGTGGTTGAGGAGCATCTTTCTTTCTATCCTTTTCTGGTGGGATATCACCTCCCTTCTTTTCAGAGGCAGCAACTGCTGCATTATCAACTTTCTGTGCAGGCTTTACAGCTTTAGCTGATTTTGCATTCATTGAAGCCGCAGTTCCAGATGCCTTATTTCCGTCAGCTAGTGACACAATTTTATTAAAGCTATCTAATTAGCATTATCACACCGAGTAGTGCAGAAAAGTGACCCAAGAAAGAACATCATAAATTCCCACTTTTAGGCATGTTAAGATCATTAGAGAACACAATATTAGAGTCCATGAACACTTAACAGCAGTTCTGACAGGGAATTAGGTATCAATAGGCATAAAGAAATAAGATGGGCATATATAATCACAATTAAAAGTCCAGGGTAAAAGCACTTTCAGTCAGATAGCTTAAACAAATCACATGACATATTTAACAACTACACACCTTTTGCAGCAGCCTTTGCAGCTCGTTGAGCTTCTTGAAGAGCCCGTCTTTCAGCTTTTGAGGTTTTTTGTTTCTGCTGTTTTGAACTACTAGATTGGTCTTTCACTTCCACTGCTGACCCTCCTACTTTGTTTCCTTTCTCTTTATCTAATCAAATGTTGATGATTATTAGCCCAGGCTTTAAGAACATAGTTTCTCACGTACTGACACAAAAGCTCAATTAAGTATGCGTTTGGATTCACATTGAAATACCAGCTAACTTAATTTTAGGTAAATTTTCACACATTTGGTTCCCTGTTGGAAAATTAATATTCAGTTTAAGCAAATTTAGGTAACTTCAAACTAGATTAAAATATTTATATTAAGTTTCACTATGAACTTGCTTCTATAATTATATCAAAACATAAATCACATCACTTCAAAAACCAATTTTGCAAACGTTCACCCAAACACACAGAATCTCTTAAACCAAGTCCCTACTTTCACACTAAGCTTGACAAAACCCAAATTCAACGCATACTCTCCACAATTTCCCATCCAAAACCACTTCAAATTCAAAACCTAGCCACAGAAAAGAACCTCACCGGGAATCCCGAGCGAATCTTTCACCACCGAAACCGTGGTCAGCTCGCTCGCCGGCACGACGCTTGCCTTCATCGCCGTCAGGTCGAATCCGCCGCGGGGGAACGACGAGGCCGCCACCTTCCCGGCGGCGCCGTTGAAGAAGCCTCCCTCGCCGGCGATCCTGCTGGAGTAGGAGGAGGACGGCGCGGGCGACGGCAGCGCGGGGAAGAAATCGGCGGCGTCGAAGGAGGTCCCGGGTGCCGCGGGGGAGTCGGGGCGGAGCGGGGAGGCGGCGGGGAGGGCGTGGAGGAGGAGGTTGTCGGAGAGGTGGCGCGGCGGCGGGATCATGACCGGAGAGAGGGAGCTGGAGATTGGGGGAGAGGAGTGGGTCGGGTCGGGAGGACCCGATTGGGAGCGCTCGGGCGGGGCGAAGAACCCGACTTGGCGGAACTTCGGGACGGGATCGATCACTGCGCGTGGGGCGCGGCGAGAGGGATCCATGGAAGAGGAATAGGGTTTATGTGTTTGGATGAAAGGAAAATTTTCGAGGTTTTTTCTTTTTTTCTCGGGAAAATTGAGGGGTTGGAATGAGTGAATGAGTGACGAGTGATGATGAGATGGTGCTACTGGTGAAGTGAGGGAGAAATTCAAAGCACAGACTCACACAAATAATTACTCACTAATTTTTTAGTTCCTAAATCTATATATAAATTGAGTATTTTTCTCTTCAATATAATCTAGATTGAAATTTTAAATATCTTAATTAAGAAACACTAGTTACTGGATTTAAATTCAAAATCTTAATTACTCTAAAGATCTTAATTAAATCAAGATTTAAACTCTGAAGATGTTAATTAAGTTTTAATAAGATTGGGTGGATTTACTGGATGAACAATTATGGTGTGTTTGGATGAAGGATTTTACAAATTCAAAGAATTTTAAATTGTATTTGAATTACTTTGATTTCAATTTCTATCATTCTTAAAATATTTTGTTTGGATAAATCAATTCAAATTTTTAAATTTTAAATTGTTAAGATGGATATAATAATTTGGTTCTACCATGGTAAAATTAATTTTAAAAATATATTTATATGTTGAGATTTTTAAATTAAATTTCATAAAAATAAATATTAGCTAATTTTTAAATATTTAATAATTTTAAAAATTAATATTAGATAATATTTAATAATTTTAAAAATATTTTTGAATATTCAATAATTAAAAGAATGAAGAGATAAGATAAAATATATAGGTGAAATAAGAAAAACAAATATGAGGAATTTCAAATTGTTAAATTTTTGGGAGAATTTGAAATTTTACTATTTTAAGGAATTTCACAAATGCTTGAATTTCAAATTTTTTGTAAATTCCCCATCCAAACAAAACATTTCACCTCAAGGAATTTGAAATTCTTCAAATAAATGAATTACCCTATATAAATTCCTCATCCAAACATACCATTAAAATTTTTCAGTAATTAGATGTAGAGGCTATTTTACCTTTCACGTGTAATTTTTTTAAAAAAAATTCTGAAATGGTAAATCTAAAAGGAAAATTCAAAATAGGTAAGTCGTGTATGGGGCATACTACTTTTTATTTAGAACTTTTACTTTTTAATTTTTTTATTCTAATGAAAGTCATAATTTAAAACACAACTTTTTATAATAAAAAAATTTGGGAAAATGGCAGGTATTATAAGTGAGAGCTTTTTGTGTTAAAATAATTTTATATTATTATTTTTTAAGTTTAGAGTTTAGGATTTAGGATTTTATTTTTATTAATTTATAATTTTGATCTTTCTACTTTAAAATAGAGTAGAGACATTTAGTCTCACTAATTTAAGAAAAAATAAAATTTTGGTTTTCTATCAAATGGCTTTATATTAATAATTAAGTTTTAATATTTATTGATATTTAATGATGTGATATTTAGTAATATGAAATTTAGAAATAAAAAAATTTTAAAAAAAATATTCATATAAATTTTTTTAATAAAATAAATACTAATCACTTATTAATATATATGTAAATAAAAACAATTTTATTTTTTATTTTTTTACTTTTTTATCTCTATATAAGGGTTTTCATAGACCAATTTGATTTTGGGTAAACTAAAGTTTAAATTAATCAATTTTGTTTAGTTTGATTTGGATTACTAAAAAATCTTGCAATCTGAACCAAATCAATCAACAATGAATTGGTTTGATTTGGATTAATCAACTTTTTTATTAAAATATATATATATATATATATTTTAAAACCATAACAAAATATAATATTTTATAGCAAAAATTTAATAAAAACATATTATTAAAAAAGTGTAAATATAATTTAAGCTTAAATTAAAAAAGTAATGTAGGAAACATGAAATTAAAGTAGTCATACATATTTTAACATTTGAATTAAAATATTCCAACATTTAAAATTATGGTAGTCCCTCAAACATAACTAAATTGTCTAAGTTGTGATTATTATTCACGTGACACTCCTTACTTCACATACAAACATAGTACAAAATAACTAAGATAGGAAAGTGTTCAAAAATAAATTTTACTAGTTAAAAAAAGGTTCAAAATTATCTTAAATAGATGTATCACATTGGAACATGTCACCAAAAGAAATAAAACAAATGTTTAACATAACAATTACAAAATGAAATCTAACATGAAGTCATAAACATAAATAAACTACCAAAATAAAAGTTTTAACTAAACTTCGATGACACATCCTATCAAAGCAGAAATCTCAACACAAGGTTTAGGCCTTGTCACCAACATCACCAACATCATGATGAGTTTCGCCTACAATAACATACACTAAAACAAATATAAGAAACAGGGGGTGAGAAACATTTCACTCTATCTCACGATGTGAAAAATAATCAGATAATTAAACACATAACAAGATATAATAACAATAATATATCAATGACAAGATAGCTTAGTAGATTCAATTAAGGGTCACAATAAGGTACATTACATAGTTACACATCAACATACATAATGCAATGGACATAGACTTCAATGTGCATATGCATGTAGGACCAGTAAAAAACACATCAATTTGTCAATTGTCAAAGGTACACTTAAGTAACCTAGGAGAACATGTCAGGTCACACCTTCATCACACTCTACACTAGGAAGAGATACATCAACAATTCATTGGGTTAGCTATGTCATGTGAGTCCCACCTCATGCACACAAGCTAGGTGGAATTGGGGCTTCCCAAACCCAATTGTCCCCAAGATCATGAATCTCCAAGCTTTTACACAAAAGGAAGCTTCCATGGCAACACATTCCATATCGTACCCATAAAAAACTTTTATGCATATGATGCATATCATACAAAACTCAATACAATATCATGTTATCACATTGCACATTCACAATTTGCCAAGTTGTCATCGTATAACCCTTAAAGGCTCAACATACGTCAATTTTCCAATATGCCAATATTGTTTCACATCATTTACATCATTCATGTGTCACAATATCATAATTACTATTGGAAATTAATAGATCTAATCCCACCTATATGACGCATGTGAAATAACTAATTTTATTTGGTTGTAATTTCTGGAAAAAAAGATAAAGTTTTTGGGGATAATGTGAAGACTTGGTTTTCAATGGGAGAGTAATTATGCTAACAGTTGCAAGAAAGAGAGAGAGAGAGAGAGAGAGGGAGAGAGAGAGAGAGAGAGAAGAGAGAGGTTATATGATAAGGTTGGTTAGCTAAAAAGAAGGAAGTGCTTAGATAGTGGGGGGGGGGGTTGGTTACAAACCAATTTCAACTATAAAAGGGATCTACAGTTCCAGTAAAAAGGATCAATTTTTAAAGCTTTTATAACTTTAAGAATGCCAACATAGAAAAATTAATCAATCCATTTCCATGCCCATCCTCCCAGTGAAAGATAAATTTGCTACTCATTTTTTATTATTTGATTGTACTATCACTTGACATGTTGTTAAGTCAAAAGACGATCATGGATCCCTCAAGTTTTAATAATAACAAACAAAAGATTTTCTTTTTAAGCAAGGTCAAATATGTACAAAGATATACTATATCAAATGAAATGTGGAAAATATATATCATATGTAAGATAAAGAAAATCGGACGAAGCATATAGTTTGTCTCTATGCATTAAACATATATTCCAAATGAGACTAATATTAAATTTCATTTAATATTTTATTCCTTAACAGATCAAAATAGAAAGAAATATTGGAACTCTCAAAATCTATTAAAGAAGAAAAAGACAAATTATTTGTCAGAAGAAAAAAGAAAAATCCTGGATATCACAAAAAAGGCTTTGCAAAAGACTACTATATGCTGACATCAACTACTTTAGGCATAGCTTCTATCATGCTCATTTTAGAAGAAAATGATGATAAGTAGCCTAGTAGATCATATAAGAGATACACGTTTTGCTAAAAACGTATTTAATGTTCGCATTAAATGCATCAACAATAATCTCTAAGATCAATAAAGAAGACAAACTAAGCAACTCATGAAGCAAATTGTAAGTTCAATTCAAAGTTGTTGTAATGGTCATCTTCTTTGAAGCTACTATAAAAGGATCAAGTCTTTAGAAAACAAAACTAGTACAGTGACACATATAGAACATAAGCAATAGAAGCAATATACATTGAGAAATTTATATAGAGATACATAGAGTTGAAAAACTACAAAGAAACATTCTAATGTAAAATCTTGTACATATTTCTTTGTAGATTACTTATGCTTTCATTGTTGATTACACCATGTCTGGAAGAGATGAATCTTGTAATCATCCATTACCTTTGTTGTAAAGGTTGATCTTGGAGAGGCTTGTGTAAAAGAATACTTAATGTTGAGCCTAGAGAGACTTGTTTGAAAGAATACTTGGTGTTAAGCCTCGAGAGGCTTGGTTGAAAGAATACTTGGTGTTAAGCTTGAAGAGGCTTATTGTTCAAAGAATACTAAGGTAGTTGCTTGAAGAAACAAGTCAAAGACTACTTAAGATTGAGCCAAAAGTGGCGTAGTAAAAGAATACTTGTAACTTTGTTGAAAGTTAGTGGAACTCAATTTGACTGGATTAAAAACTGGACGTACACTACAAGGAAAATGATGATTTGCGACAGACAAATTGCAACAGTTATCCTGAAACCGTCGTCACTTTGATGTTGCGACCCTTCATACGACGGTTTCTCCCAATTGTTGCAAAATTTTTCAACATTGTGGCAGTTCGTGCGACGGAGTCAAATAGCTACCACAAAATTTATCTATATTGAGGCAATTTGTAGTAAACAATCGCAGTCTACAAGATAAAAATTGAAATAAAAATTCACAAAGTCATGCACACTCCAAAATTCTATAATTTTACTTTCAATAAAAAATAGAAAAATAAAATCATAATGACATGTAATTACATTTAGAAATGTTAAAAAGGAAAAAATACTTTAATATACTATATTAATTTTATTTCTCTATCTTTTAAATTATTTTAGAATAAAAAAGTTTTATGTTAATCCTTGGAAGCTAAAAATTAAAAGGTGCGTAACCTTAGTTTTTCAAGGATAAGTGTCTGAGTGTTTGGTTACTCTCGAAGAGAGGATGAACTATTGGCAACACTCACTAAGACAAGCTATCTTAGTACACGGATATACAGGAAGTCCTTTGAGA